AGCAGCTATTGGTACACTGTCTCAGACAGTATCCACTGTATTGGTAAGCTATCCCCAGGCTAGATCTAAAAGCAGTTGTTGACACACTGTCACAGACAGTATCCACTGTATTGGTAAGCTATTCCCAGGCTAGATCTGAAAGCAGCTGTTTAGATACAATTTAATTACTTTCCCTTTGTCCCTTATCCTAATCTAATCAGCTTCAGGGCTACTGGTCAAATTTTTACACAGCCAGGAAATTAATATGATAAAGTTTGCATAACGGGGATTCACAAAAATTGCTTTGTTCCTCGGAGGTGTACTGGGAATTATATCTATTCCATGGTCAGGTTGATAGGAGGAATCACAAAATTTCTTATTAAGCTGCAATCGGTAGGCTGTTGTAAATTTGTCTATCTGCCTCTCACTCTCTTTATACAGAAATCAATCAGGAGTTAATGTTATAAGCACCCCCGTGATTTGTTAGATATTGAATTGAGATTGGATTTGGCACCCTAGTGTATGTATGGTGTTCTGTTTAAATACATGCATCAATATTTCATTGGAAGAGTTACACCAACTTCATTTACTGTAGGCAATTGAAACATGTAGGTGTGACACCATTCCGTTTTACGAGCTAGATGATAATTGATGCATTGATCTTGACATGGTAGTATGATGAGCCAAAGATTTTCGTACAGATTGCTGTAGGTCCCTGCCAATATTTTCACTTTCCAATACAAACTAATGGTAAAGTGAAAGTATCCTCTGGTCATTTCTCCTTGCCGTTATTTCACTGTAGACATTACAATAGAACAGACTAGCCAAGACCATTACTGGGGTACAGTGTCAGGCTTTGAACCTGTGTTGATACAGTCTAGAGTTTCAAGACATGAAAAATCAATACAGCATATTATCAATATGATATTCCTAAACAAGAGATAATGGCCGACGACGGGGTATCTGTTTGACTGCTGGTATTCCATTTCATGACTATGCAGATTTAGATTCTACCTTTATACAACCGTTGGAACATCAGTCGGCTTTCCTGGTGGCTTGGAATCAAATTGTCTTGCATTGTTGTTAAGTATTGGATTAATTATCAAGTGTCTTGTTGAAATGGGCATCTAGTTGAGATGGGATCCATTAATATTTAAATCTGGGCAGTACCTGATAAGGGCAATAACAGGTTTGGTGGACTGTTTAACATAGTGGGTAAAATGTCATGTTAGTCAGAAATCTAGTTCTTATTATTGATTGTGGTCAAACTGTTAAGAGATTTTTCAATCCTTATCACTTAAAATTATTGTTTAACTTTTATAAAACACACATTCTCTTATTACTTATACCTGATGATTTTTTTTTGGGGGGGGGCTTAATTTAATTGATATAAAGTGATCAAAACTACAAAAGATATTAATATCTTTTAAAATTTAGTTGAATATATTAGTATCTGTATTATAAAGCATGTCTATGAAAACCCAGTTTTATTAGAAAACAATGGGTCCCAACTTGACACTTCAGAAAAATGCCTGACATTAAATAAATCTATGGCTTTTATTGATTTAAGGGGAATAACTCTTACAGCCTTCAGAAGAACAGGGTAGTTAATGTTGATTTAATAGTCAGTTTTACTGTTCCTGTGTATTGCTGAAATTGTTTTGGATTTTACCAATTTTAGATTTAATGATTCCTCATCCATTTATAATAAAAGGCATAACTGAAATTGCAATGTCAGTCAGTGGCATATATCAATGGGGATGGCCCTGTGATAATTTAAAACATAGAATTCAGAATTACATGCATTGAAATTGTGGTGGAGGAAAATGAAAAAATGCTGTGATTGTATCCTGGGGAGTGCTTATAAGCTGGCAGTGGAGATTCCACTTGTAGATACAAGGCTTAAGTAGCTGTGGTGTGATCAGGAAATCTGTTGTCACTGACTGCCTGATCAAAACAATATAAAACCACACTTAGAATGTCTCGCACAGGGCACAGGATGACTTGTTAATATCTAGCTGGTTATAGAAAGTATCATTTTGATGCATTCATCAATATCAGTAGCAACAGCAAAGATCAAATTGAAAAAAAAAAACATCACGAAACTTTCTGATAGATCATAAGAAATATATCTTATCAAATAAATTTGACCTTGGAAATAATGATGATGTAAAACTGGTGTATTACGGGGCAAAATTGTGATCTGCTGATTGTTGGTGGTGATAGTGACATCATTGCTCGGTCCTGTGCGACTGCTGTTTTATTTGCAGATTGCTCAGGATTCTAGCATGTTTTTCACATGCATCCACAACGCTTGTCAACTTGGTCTGATAGCTATCGGGGTCCCTTGGGTCCTCGCAGTGAATCAGATTTTACGGTAGTCTTTTGTGGTGTTGGTGAGGTATTAATGTGCTGTGTACACGTTGGAATACCAATTCTGCCAGGGAGGAACCCATGCTCCCGTTTATATTTTTTATTAAACAAAGTAACGATTGTTTATATGAAGTAGATAGTATTTGGTCATGGATGGTGGGATGGTGGAATTTGGTCTGGAATACTGTTTATACAAGTGAGAGAGCATTGTACACAAACTTGCCTGCCCTGATTCCCCTATCCCACACGTAACCATGACCCTGATCAATAGATTGCGGGGTCCATTATGGAAATTTGTGGCTCTGAGGGTCAATCTGCTATCTAGATTTGTGCTGCTGTACTGGAGCTGAGAAGAAGTTGAGTGTAATGCCCATGTGCCTATCATGTTTCCTGAACCTGCTGGTGCTGACAAAGCCTGAAATTATTGTTGTATCCTGGAGATTCCAGTATTTATACACCAGATAAGGTCGATATATCATCTTTAATATTAAATGCAAGATTCACTTTGTTTAAAGTCTTTGATCTTTCTCATTGGTCAAGAATCCACCTTAAAAATGTACTTTGCATTGGGCTGGTATATTTACCAGACATTTTGATATGGGACATCTTTGGAATCTATAGGACAACTCTTTAAATAGCTTTACTTTACACCAAGAAACACAAAATTAGACAATTAGACAAGTTTGTATACAGCCATGGTTACATGTATGAAAATTGATGTTTTGATGTGGAACTGAGAAATTAAACATCAGTCAAATTGAGGCTTAAATCTTCATTCAGATAGTGTTGCCCAATCTTCTTCATACTTTGTCCCATGGTCGTATACTTACTTTGATATAGTCTTTGCAATAACTGTTGCCTACAAAAAGTAAATATCTAGCTGGCCTAAAACTGCTGAAACCCTTGTTTTGGAACGGCCACAAATGTTGTTACATGCGGTATGTAATGGTGACCAATGTTAACCAGGAGGAACACACATTTTCATTTGAAGTCTTAAGTCTTTGATTTAATCTCTGTGTCAGCTGCTTCTCATATATTTTGGCTTTCTTCTTTTCCCTATAGTCCTTTCTGAAGATCCATTTGAGGATTTTACTTTTGCTCTCGCAACAAACCATGGAAGACCAGACAGAAAGAAGCCAATTAAAAATAAATAACGGATGCTATGTTGTCTAAAATTTAATCGCTGATCTCAATCAACAAAGGTCTTGTTATATACATGACTCCATGAAATGCCTGGTTGACAGAGATTGAGGGAGATACCAATGCTTAAATCTATACTGGAATTTAAGTTAGGTCAGGAATTGTCCTTCATATATACAGGACCGATGAAAAGTCGTATGGTCTGGTGATATTTTAGGTTGATATCATTTGGTTCAACTATAAAAGGTGGGCAATCCTTTTCCAACAACTCAATAATAACTAGCATTTGGGAAGGTGTTTGTTGCTAAATGAGTTCTATTAAAGTGATGTTTTTTTGGGTTTTTTTTAATCTAGTTATGTAACTGGTAATATCAGCACCGGTTTTTTACAGTCATCATTTTATGCTTGTTAATAGGTACAATATCATTGGAAAAACACAATGAAATCTGATGTGGAGAGTCCAGAAAACTTTCAGAACCTGTTTTCATTAATAATGTACCTAAAAGCTCCAGTGTATAATTGAAATGTGTTGTTGTGATGAAAATATTGTGAATTGTGAAAATAATCTTTTTTGTTATCCAAGTTTAAGTGGTTTGTAGAGCCAGATTTAGATATTATGATGAATTAGGCAAAAGCAATTAACTTTTTTCCCTTCCATTTTTCGCCCTAACATGTCTGAAGTAGGCCAAGTTTTACCTGTGATATACCTGTAATTACATACACCTAGCTTACCTGGCGGCAGCCAATTTTCACCCAGTAGGTAGTCTAAATGGATAATGATATTTTATAATTAAAAGTATTTGTGTATTGCTTTGGCGAAGCTCTCGGGTGAAAAGATCAGTAGGAATTCAACCCCAACAAGTTCAGTCCTGATCTTGGCAATTAAGAGGTAAACCCATTCATACCTCATGTATCTACAGTGGACTCAACTGGTCACTAATTTGGATTGACCGATTGTGGTCAGTGGGTGTGGAAGGGTCAAACTCACCTATGCAAGGACTAAAAGGACCTGGTCAGACAATCGAACAGTCATTAATGCCAAGCTGGGCTTCACTGGGCTTTATATGGATTTAAGAAGAAAATAAAATGATCTCTGTTGATGTGCAACATGTGCCCCAAAACTTGCCCCAGCACTAATAAAAGATGAGGGGATGGGCCATTTACCAGTATTGTACAGACGTCCTGATGTCATTGGTTACCTGTTTTACTGTCACCAGATATACTCGATTCAGTAACGAGAAAGCTTTTGTACTGAATTGACAAACCCATCCACAGGCTTTCGCCTACTTTTCTTGTTTAAGGTTGAGTGATTTGAAATGGTTCTATACAGGCCGGCTCCTCGCTGAATAGAGATATGAAGTGAATACAATTTTAACATTACTCTATACATTACATTTCACACATGCCACTATACATATATATATATATATATAAAGAAGAGTGCACATTCTGAGAGAATGTATGGCGTGTATAAATAGCTGCTTAATACCCCGAGGAAATAAGCTGTGGTAGCCATAGTGGTTTATACACAGTGAGTGGGTGACAACATTAAAACGTAGTGTGGGATACAGGACAGTCTCTCTCTTTACTTCGGACTCTTTCTTTCCCTTGCTTGACACTCTGCTACTAACACACTTTTTCCTGGACTGGTTTTTTCCGTGTCCCCAGTGTGTTCTGTGTACCTAGTTCCCTGGCAGTATATTGTCACCTGGAAAGCACTGGACTGGCTGCATTACTTTGGTATTGGCCCGAGTGTGGAGACTATTCAGCCTGACAATAGGGAGATACACTGCCGGCCACTCAAGTATTGCTGCTGCTGCTGCTGCTGACTAGCATTAAGGATAGCTGCCCACTGAGGAACTGGAGAGCTGCCTCACTCCCAACACCACTCTCTTACAGTGCAGCCGTGTGTACTCTCTCTTCACTACTATACTTTGGATACTGGGCCGCTGATTTGACGTGCATGTGCTACTGCTAATGTGGGCTGCTGCTCTTGTTCTCTCCCCCTTAGGTAGCTCTTAGTGAACCACCGGTCACCTCATCACCTTCTCTCTATCTCTCTGCTCCGTCTTCATATGGAAAATGTGAGTATTTTCTTTTCTCGTCATCGTTCGTTAGCACTACACGTCCTGGTTTCTTCATAAACAATAATGCACCGAACTTTAAGGCTTGTCCTTACATTTTTGTGTGATGAGGTTTCATCACACGGTTTTTTTCTGGATGAACGCATATCTCACGGGTTGTTATTTAATGCTGTTTGTTGATCGTGGCAAAACCGCTGTAGTTGTACAGCAGGCGAAATAGTTTTTCTTAATATCAAGCGGGAAGAAATATGCGTTAGTAGTAAAAGCTTTCAGATGTTTCCTTATGATACGGATGTCCCGGTTTGTTGGGTAAGTTGAGACCCTGTAAGAAACTGTCACACACACGGCCACACATTGAACTGGTGTCTTACTATGACTGTGTGTAACATTTCACTCCTATACAGATATAGAGGGTGGAGGAACCCCAGTCATCCCAGACCAGATCAGATCTACTGATTGGGAATCAGGAAGAAATCTCTCTTGTTCAATTGAACTGTCAGTCCTGCTGGTTCTTTCATGGAGTTTTTATGATGGGGCCATTTTCCATGTGATTGATTTCAATAAATCTTTCTTGATTTAGTAATTAAACCATTCCTGCAGTGCTGGAGAATTTTGTTTTCAATTGCAGCTTGTGGAAATATCGATGGTGTGTCACCATCGTGAAATAAGAATTTTGCTGTAGGGAAACAGAAATATTTATGAAGAATATTTAACAAGGAATATTCTGTAATCTGTTTCCAGTTGATTATTTAGATCGACATAGCTCGTCCTAGCTGGATATGAAAGTGTTTTAGGTATTTGTATCATCCGATCAATGGCAATTATCAGCAGAAATACTAGTGAGTTGTGTGCAGTCCTCGGTCGTTTGCATCGCATGCAACACCAGGATGTCAGTGCATATCCCAAATTGCCTATAGCAGAGCCATTTAGGAATAGGTTGTGTACCTTGATTTATTGTGGAAAGTCATTGTTATTTCTGACTAAATCTTATTTTAATCTTCCTCTGGGAAGCATTGCAACCTCAAATTTCTATGGCTTTTACCAAGTTTTATCTGAATAAGTGTGAAATCGTGTTTAGTTTCTATAGATAAATTAACTTCATTAAAAATTATTTTCTACATGGTTTACCCCAGTGAAACTTTCCAACAATCCTAATTTGGTACAATTAAGTTGGAAAAGAATTGTATTACACAAGAAACTGAAGAGAGAAAAAAAGACACATGAGAACATGATGCAATTTAAACGATTGTACAGGACAGTAAAAATCTGACAAATTTACAGTAAGTCAAGTACATTACAAGTTCTGTGAATGTTATGATACAGAGGCATGTAAAGATAGCTATCCTGTAATAAATGGGGACGTTTTTTCCGGCCCACAAAATCTCCTATCTGGGAACATTTCAGTCCAGCGTTTTCTCTGTAAGCCCAGTGAAGTGTAACATTTCAATATGTTGACTCACTCCAACATGTAATAAGTGGACTAATGACATAAACAGCTCGTACTTTATTTATGCTTGTGTGGGTTTCTGACATATCTAATGTATGTGATATGCATATCTGTAGTATCTGTGTGTGAGTAAACTTGTACACTGAAGTAGATGTATATTTATATATATATACAATATTTCATCATGTCTTGAATATAAACGGTAGGGAGAACTGCGTACATGATAGCCATCTTCACATGAGCTGTGCTGGTAAATACTGATAGCAGAAATACATTTGTATGTGCTTTCACACTGTGGCAGAAATTGTATAAAGATGTAAGGTAGGCTGCTTGATAGATGTACAGGTCAGGTCTTTATGACAGGTAGCAAATACATTGTAAGTAAACGAGCTTGTTGCCCTAGCTATGCAGCCAGGTAAAATACTAACAACAAACCCATTAATTAGGTCGTCATCAACGCTCAACGGATTATTTATTTTGTACTTGGCCAACACGACTGGTTTTGAATCAACGACAAACATTCCTCATTTCTGTATAACATTGAAGATTCTATGATACATAAATAGAAAATGTCTAAAATCTACTGTATCTCTCGTACCTGTCACTAAGGAATCCAGGTATATCACAACAATTTCTACCTGTAAACTTAAGAAGCAATTCCAGGTCAGATGGGTTAAAAATATATACTAGTAATTGGGATCAAGTGTTCCGACAGCTGTATTAGGATAATTATTGTATATGTCCCCAACAGGCCAGGAAGACTTTAAACACATGAGGTGGGGTGAAAAAGTGAAATTTATTTCAAATCCTGGATCTTCTATAGAGAAAAACTAAGCCAGTTTCACATGCTATCAGGTTTTAGTTAATCTGAAGGTTTTGTAGTTTAACAAATGGATTAAAAGCTTTAAATCCTATTATTGTAGAAGCCTGAATGAAATGTGAAATTTTCATAACAGTATGGAATTAAATGAATTTGAAAATTGTGTTGCATGTAATCTAGGTAAGGTGATACTTTAATACCCTGAATTGCTGGTATATTTGATGAAATTATTTGAAACCAACTACTTCAAAATAAATAAATGTTGAACAAATTTTTGTTACAAAATATATTGTCGATAAAATCTTTTTGCAAATAAAATGAAATGAAATAGATATCGGATATTGATCAGTTAAAGGGATCTGACGGCGGTTGACCTGTGTTTTCCGCGTTGTAATCTACACAACCCTACTAGTCCGGTTTAATTGAGTTCGTAAACTACCTGCTCTGAGGGATGGTATTTTGGAAGGTTTCAAGAGATCTGCCATCCTTCACGTCCAAGTATACTTTATGACACAAACAGGAGACTAGAAATGTAAATTGGATGGTAATTATACAAAGTGGTTATGTGTAAAGTTGTGTAATTTCATAAAGGTTTTTTGGAGATAACACAGCTAGAAATATTTGACAGCAATATTAGCTATTAGGATGGCAAGCTTAAACTGGAATCCAATATAGGCAGAAATTTAAATGTCGCTATCAATATCCTGATGTCATCACGGTAAACTGTGGGTAAGGCCATCATTTTAGGCATTTTGGAAGGGAATAATTATGTAAATTACCACAAGTGGATATTGCCTGATTGTGCCGATTAAAGACCTGTTTATGTGCCGTGGCTGTAATTATTGTTTGATGCCAGGGGAGGCAGGCATATGATGATTAAGGTTAATATGTTTTAAACGTTTTACCGTAAATACTACAACCTCCGGACAGGCGTGGTAATTATGTTTTTGTTTTATGTAACTATTAACCAGTACAACTAGGGTTCGACTGGTTCACTCTGTATCAGAAAGGGGTGTACTACTCATTAATGGGTGAACTAGTCAAGCATGATACATATAACATGACACAATAGTAGTTAGAGTGAACACATCAAACATATGCTCAATGCCAGTGTGTGGATAATTCATGCTTTACTGAATTTGTAGTTTTTCTCAACTTTTCGAAGCATAGTTTTACTTATGATTGTGAAATAACTGAAGTCAAATAAAGCCATGCTGTGGTTTCAATACGAAAAAAATAAATCAAACATCAACCATCCATGCATACATTGTGTAGTCATTGGTTTCTGTGTGAAATAGTCTCATTAAAAATCAAAATATATGGTCTACTCGAGCGAATCGTACAGACGAGGCAAGCTGTGAACCTGCTGCATGGAGCAATGTTAAGGTACTTTAAAAAGAAATGAAATGTAGTTTATTGACTCCCTGCATGGTTCTATATATATTGTCTAGACTGTTCAACACAAATTGGCATTGATCACAATGTTCTCAAAATCCATCTTACCCTACACCACTTTAACTATTGATTGCTAGTTTAAAGGTCAGTCTGGGGGTTTTCAATGTCAAAAGTCAAAAGTCTTTGGTTGTTTGTATGTGTCAAGTTTATCCAAATAGCTCATAAAAAATATCATGACCTGACAAATTAAACACCAATAAATGGATCTGGTTTTTCTTGGAAGTTGGATTTTATGTTTTTCCTGACCTTTTCCTGGTCCATGTATCTGTTCAAAACTTATTATAAAAAAGTGTACAGATATGTAGTTATTTCATATTTTTATTCCTGAATAATATTTTAATGACATATCATGGTCTAGAACTAAAAACCACTGCAAACCATAGTAATAGTATTTTCCAAAGAATGATTTTGTTGCCTTTTTCCCAGCAAAAAAAGAAGACAACAGTGTTGTGTAAAGAGTACTTACGGATGTTATTGATATGGGTTACTATTATGAGCTACTTAAGGTGTTCATTGCTTTGTGACAGCCAGTTAGTACCAGTTATCATAGGAAAGGTACAGTTAGAGGTGCCGAGGAAGGCATGTCGTGTTTGACATACCAGCACGGTATGGCGAGTAGCCGAGGAAGGCATGTCGTGTTTGACATACCAGCACAGTATGGCGAGTAGCCGAGGAAGACATGTCGTGTTTGACATACCAGCACGGTATGGCCGCAATGACAGTTTTAAGACACCCTGTACATAGTGCAGTAAGTCTGCTGGTTGAGTATGCCACTGACTTGACATTCATTCAAACTGCCTGTGAACTGTTTCAGCCATTAGGACATTGAGGAATGCAATCCGAATGTCGTTTGTACAATATGATGCAGGAGAAACCACAACTGTTTGTGCAGCGTGCACACAGCTTTGTGTACTGGCATAGTCAACACAAATATGCAAACTAGGCTGCACATTGGCCAACATTTTGTGTTTACACATTCGTGCCAATGCTGATATTATGGTTGCTGGGGGATGAAATTGATCTCCTCATATTTTGCTAATTTCTATAGTGTGATTTCCGAGTTTCATGAATTTTATATGGTTATTCATGTTACCATGCTAAACTATCCCATCAATATGCATATATTTTCTCATTTCTGTATTGCAGTCATTTATAAATTTTTAAATAAATCCTTTTCATGATTGCCATGCCAGTATCAAACAACCAATAGATAATGTTTTAACTGTTTGCCGATGTCATCGGTAGATTTAAATAGGAGCTTGGTGAAACTGCTGGAAATAGTCAATTATTCATATGTAATGTAGCCCTCGGCCACTGTCAACGACAGCCGGCCGGTCCTGGACGATTTCTCTGTGCCACTCATATCTTCACCATTAATCCAGTTATCATAGAATGGGGGAAAGCACAACTTCCTCTCTACATCCTCCTACCGGGCTGTGTGCAGACAAAACCAGTATAAACATATACAGTACATTATACTCCTGGGACATTACTAGCAGTATTAAAATAGATCAAGCGTCATTAATTTTATAATTTGTTTAAAAAGTCATTAACGCTGTATTGTTGAGCATGTACAAGTAAAAGGTGGCGATGCTTTATATATATAGTGTAAATGAAATACACTAGAGATAACTTGGTACATCAGTCTGTAAAAAGTACAGGCATAAAAAAAGTGTCCTTTTTTGTCTTCCTCGTAATTACATTAATGGCTCGCCCTAGCAGTACATACCTGATCAAATCATTCTTGATCCAAGAGTGTCAAACACATATACAAATTCTTGTCAATTTTCACACTTCTTTTGTTCTGTAGAACTTGTATTTACAAAGATGTGTCTAGCCAACATGCAAATCAGGTATGGTACTGGCAAAGTTTACATAAGTCAGACCGACATAACAAATCACAGAATGTAGTGGCTTTACGCAATCTAGACCTGTATAAAAATCGGAGTTCACACAGGATAATATAAAGGAAATATATAAGTAGGGGGAATGGATCTGAGACACTTTGATTAACAGAAAATATTAGAGCTGTCGTTTGAAGAAAAAAAAGATTACCAACTTAGTTGTTGCCTGACCTGCAGCACTACATCAAGTGTAATTATGGTAAGCAGCCCGGCCATCAGTTATTATATTAAGTTATGTCCAATTATTGCTGTTGGTCAAATCTCTGAGGTATGACCTGCCATTCCTTTAGCTGTCTGTGGATTATGGAACTGTCCCTGGTGTTGTGTTAAGCCACTTATACAGAAGCAAATTATATATAGCAGCAGAATAAATACATGTACCCACATGTAATTTTCTCGGAGTAATAGTACATTTTTCGTAAAATGATTCTACCAGTTGTGATGTTTGGTAGGGAAAATTTGGAAGAAAAATTTGGTTGACTTCGCTTCATCTGCACAGAGCTGATAGAAATCTCTTGAACAGATGTACAGCTCTTAAGTGCTGTGAAGAACGGTGATAATTTAAACCATCAACAGATTCAAAAGTCTTGGCACCAGGAGATGTACAGTGCCATGATAAGATTAACAGACCAAATAGCACACAGGCAACTGGGGAACTAAAATCTCTATAACAGAAGCCAGTACTGTATAATCTTCTAATAACTGACGTTGGTCAGAGGAACCCCAGCTAGATAGCAGGTCTTGTAGTGTAGAAGAGGTTACATTTTAATATTATACTGGTTTTGGCTTTTGGCAGCCTATCAGTTTGAGATTAATAAAGTAATAATTTAGACAGAAAATAATGCTCTATTAACCCAAGGATGTCCACTTTGTTTCTTGTTCCCCTGAGTTGTTGATAAGGATAATTAGCTTCTGGTTCTTGTCCTTTATTTGAACATTCAGTGTAAAATTTTCAAAAATTAGAACATTTCTGGTATTGCTTCAGTTTTGAAAAGCTGATAGGCAGTGCAAAATTTTCTTTTAATACGCAGCACATAAATTGTACTTGTTTTACATACGACTGTTGTGTTTGAAGTTTTTTGCCTATACTTTCAAAAAGAATTGTGGGGTCTTTGGCCTCTTTGAACTATCATAAAATATATGCAATAATGTAAGTATTTGATAGATGATGATGTGTTTCCATGTAAATTGATAGTTCTCTGTCTGGCTGTTTATCAAGCTTGGAACACACTACACTAGAGCCTGCTTACATTTCAATAGGAGGTTGTATAGACACCAGAACCATTATAAGCCTGTCCTTCTGCTGTGCTGTCGTATATGATTCAGGTCTTTGTGGAGGGGGATTGATTCAACTATGCAAATACATTCATGTCATGCTAATTTTCCTCTTGCATATAATATTTTACAAATTTTACAAATGTGTGATTGCTATTTTCTTTATTTTTTTTTTAAGTTGACTTGATTTTCTACCAATGGTTTTATTATAGCGTTAAGATTTCTGATGAGACAATTTCCTGATTCAAACTGAAGTATATGTTAATTCATTTTAAACCAACCATATTCATGACCCCTTCAAGTTGTGAAATGAGCTAGAAATTAAAAAGTTTTCACAGATAGTTAGGCATGACAGGTTTTTCGGGGAATTTGTGTATAACTGAAGCTTTACCAAACTGAAACGTTTCCCTCGTCAAATCAGTGGACTGTAACTTTCACACATATGTCATTTTAGTGCAGATTTTAGATTTATGTAGAAATGTGGTGTGTAAAACATTATGCGATTGACTGTGATTTGAACACGGACAGCTGTATGGATTTGTACTGATTTAATTTGGAGTAAAATTAAAAACTTTCCAGTTATTTTGTTCTCTTAATATGAACACAGAATGAGTATTGCTGAGCAGTGTGGTTATACTGGCATCATGGTGAACAGTAAAACATATATTACCTGTTCAATATATACGACTCGGAGGACATTTCGTGTTTATTTTGTTGTAGCTTAAATTGAAATGATGGCATCCACAGTGCCAAGTAAAACTTGACTATGAAGCCATTATTTTTGTTCTAAGTAGTTTTTTGAATGCAATCTGAATTGGATAGATGTCTAAACATCAATCCCAGCAGCAGCAGTAGCAAGGTGACACAATTCTACTGTATTTCTAGTTTTGTAGGATTTCTGCAGTTCTGTACCACAAACATTTGTTCTGTATTGATTGCAATGAAACTGAATGAATTATTTCCTCACATGCAAACATCATAAAGCCTGACAGGTCAGTAACCACTGCCACAGTGAGAAATAAAAACCTACATTGGCATTGGATAGTTTGTATTAACTGGGCTGATCTGCACCTGATTTCCATTTGAATTGGCATCCGTTACCTTATTACCATTATATAAAATGGGAATCACCATTAGTTTATTGACTGATATGTGGTACAGGGAAGGTGGAATAATTGAGCGTCATGTCTGATCACGTCTAATAAAGGTACATGGTGTATGTGTTAATGTATACATCAGTACCTCGCATAAAAACACCAGCCCGACGACATTAAGCTGGCCCACCGCACCACACTTCACGACCATGGTACAGGGTTAATACCAATCACCTTTCTATGATCGTCTGATCAAATCATTCAGGATGCATTGATGTTTATTCTTGGAAACTATAACGACTTGTGCTTTATAGGTAATTCGTTTCTGTGGAAAGATCAAGATATTTAGTTGGTGTAAATTTGATCAAGGCATTTTTTAATTGTTGGCCTGGGATGTGATTTTTAACAGAAATGTTATATCCTGCAAATCCGAAGTTTTATAAATATCAACTTGAAATTAAATAAATAATGAAAAAATTTGGAGGAATAATTGCATTATCTAGTGACCATGTTGTGGAATGTTTTATTTGGAAGGAAGTGACATTTTACTTGCCAGAGAATATTTTTGACTGATTGTATAGTAAAAATATCTGACCAGCCATGTTTATTTCTGTCATTACAGAGACCCTCAGACGACCTGATGTCCAGTTCACCCATGATGACCAATGGGACTGGGCTGAGCCCTCAACAGGTCCCTAATGCTGATAATGATGCAAAAAAGGTAAGTTTGTTTTCATTCACCATAGATTGACTGATTGGTTTGAAGTCCGATTCACTACCGAGTAGTTTGGTTATCCAGCAGACTTTACCTTAGAGTAGTACATGTACTTTGTAATAAAACAATTCCATTATCGTTATATATCTCTATTATATCCATACAAAATGTTCTTATAGATGTCAATAGCCTTTTGTATATACACGCCATCTCTGTGACAAGATTTTACAAAATTCTTGGTACATCTAGGTAACAGTGAGAGCATTTATTACCATAAATACAGTACTTCTATGAATCCTAATCTGTTCTGTTATCCTCATATAGCTGTCCAATATTGCCTTGAAGTCACGTTTATACGCTTTTAAGAAATAAACAGTTCCTTCTGCACAAATGAGCAGAGAGTGGAATATATTTGTACAGTTTCTATCATGGTAGAGATCGTTTGCCATAGATAAGGACCACAATGTATATTAGGTCCTTCTGTTTTTTGCCCGAAGACTGTTTTTGTTATTGATTCAAAATCTAGTTATTTGCCTCAGGGATTTTCTTGGTTAATGTAGACAAGTTTATACGGAGAAACAGAAATGTGGAGAACTGATTGGTATCTAGTTCATGGCCGAAATGTTTGATGGTCAATCCGACTGGACAAGGTGACCTCTATGTTAGAGTATATATCTGGACCTGGCCTACATAGATGTGGTAATTTTTGACCACAGGGTATAACATTGTGTACATATTGATCAGGGCGGACTAAATATGTAAGCAGGCTGACTTCTCCAAGTCCCTTAATGTTTTCCAAGGCCACAGATGTGTAAATGCTTGGGCTGTTATGTAAGTCTTGTTAACATGCAGACTCTCAGAATAGCAATCCCTGGCTCGGCTCTGTCAAAAGCATTTTTTTTGTCTTTCAGAAATGAGTAGATCCGTCATCAGTTGTAGATGTGATGACCGTGTCATGAGGCTTGTTTTCAAAGTCCATTGTTCTAACGTGCATTCTGTGTTAGTTTAACTATTAGACATCATTTGGAAAAACAAACATTTTAGTAATCAGTGACTGAATTATGATTATCCCAGAATTTTTTGTTTGTCGGTGATAAGTGGATTGTTCCTGTGGATACAATCAACTTTGTATATTGGCAAACATGCAGTTGTGGAAAATACGATGTAGCAATCAGTCGAGCTGTATTCTACCAATCGAGATTTTTGTTCCATCAATAATAAGTATTCACCCATCGCTAGCTGGACTGAAATCTTGTGGCCAAGATTCACTGGGCATTCGATAGATATTGGCAAGCCTGCATCCCTCACCAAGTGACATTGCTGTAGCTGTATTTTGTATGGACCATATGTGTTGCAACTGTCAATACATGTCTAAAGGTGTATTTTCTGTATATATAAAGTTTGGCCAACATGCATGCACATGCATAGGAGCTCTAGGTGTACACTTCTAACGGAGTTGTACTGTAAGCAGGTCAGACTGGTGCACGGTAAACCTCACTAGCCTTGATAGGGTGCCAACATCTCCAGCAGCCGAAACAAGCAAAGTTATGTTCCCTTCTTTCTCAAATACTATGGAAAACCTTAATAAAAACATGTCTTCAATTAGTGTATGTAGGAAAAGTCAGAGGTTGATGCCCTTATTTAGGTTAGATGAATATTAACTGTATTTAAATTGATTGCTTGGGACCTGAAAGATAACTCATGCAGTTAAGTTCCTATGTTGTATGTCTGTCTTCATCAAAGCATTCTTTCGTTAGAGTGAAAAAAAAGCTTGATGTATAAGGCCCTGCACAAGCAGATAATGAATCCTGCATACAAATTTGCCCATTGTAATGAGGTGTGATTCTCATTATCAAAATGTTAGGATAGAGGTTCAGTCTTGTCAATGGTAATACTTGTAATCAGTTTGAGGGGAGACTTGTAAGTAGACTGGGCAGTGTTTAAATCCAGCACACAAGTCTTTAATGTGAAGGTGTGTTGATGGAGGGACCTGTTGAGGTCAGGGGCGGGGTAAATAATGTACTCCACATGTACCAATGGGTTTAATTCCTGCTTGGCATGTTACTAGTTACTTGTCTGGTCAGTGTAGTGTACTGCTAAATAGCTGAGAATGTCCCACAAATTGCTTCAGGCTTACACCCAGATCCAAGGGCAAGATAGAGTCAGTTGTAAACTGTCTTGAAATAAATAACTTGATATTTTGATGTAAAACAAAAGTCGTATCAGTTGTCCATTGTTAATGAATGGATGTTATTTTATCAGTCAAATGAAGGGCTGAAATATTATGCATTTATTAAGAAAAATATACACAACAGAAAGTGCATCAGTGAAACGTGATAAATCACGAATCCACTTGACATTCCACAAATTCTTCACCAAAGATGTGAGAGAGAAAAGTAGACTTCCCAATTTTATTTTCAGTTTCAAATTCCAATACAGCTGCTTGAGTTTTCTAGGACAAATTTTGAGCTTTATGAAATCTGAAATATTTGGCGAGAAATATTGTGAGACAGATGTGTTTCCTTGGTTACCAGGTGTTGGGATACCATCTGCGCAATGGCAGTGATCACACACTAAAATCTCATATCAAGTTATGTTATGGAAATTCCATCATTCTGAGGTGGTTGTCATGGACAATATCCAAAGGAAATCGATGTCAGAAATTCAACCTTACAGGAATAGGGCGATATAATCTGTGATGTTGTTGGTCATTTTAAAATGGTGTCCCATAAATTTATCAGCCTGCTGCAGACTTCTTGAAGTGCCTTGACAATTTTTGACCTTGTGTCATGTTATCGTGAAATCTTTGTCTAGAAACATCTCTAAGTGACATCAGAAGTTTGAGTAAACATGTACCAGGCAACAGAGGAGAAGTTTGAATACATAACCATCAAGTCTAACCCATTTTAACAATGTTATATTAAGAGTTCATGTTTGCGCATGAATATTACTCGGTATTGTGTAAATTTCTGAATCACCTTTTCATATTTATTCTACAACAGCCTATTCAAAAATCTCGTTATAAGATTCCGTATGTTACTTGTATAAATGATTTGTATGAAGTTTTTATCGTACTCATATTCCTGTAAAAGATGTTTTCAGAAAACCCAACATGAAAGTCTGAAAAGAAAAAAAAAAATTTGTCCGAACTCACTAAAAAGAGTGTGTTTGATATATAAAGAACTTGATAGAATAATCTTTCCTTAAAAGAATCATTTATTAAAGCATTTCCGGGACTCGACAGGGAGTAGGCTAACACAGACCAGGGGCACCTGTTATAATTAAATACAGCGTTTTAAGTAGGCTACCACAGATATTTAACTCCCCAAATCAAGATTTTGTTGTAGGGTTTTTAGCTTGCCCAGCTTGTATAAACATTACCAGTGGAGAAAAACATACACCATCTTTGTAAGCCATCATGTGATTTTATAGATTGCTATCTTTTGTTGTATACTCTTGGTAAGGAAAAAATTTGTTTGAAATTTTTGGAAAATTTATTTGAAAAGAAACTTGGCCAGTTACAATCAAGTTTAAAACCAAGCATTATTAGAGGAAAAAGGGCCATCTGAGAACAAAATGAGTATTTCACTTTTCTCTAGTTATTGTGACATGAACTTTTTTTTTTAAACTTAAATAAAATATTCTTTATAATGTATTTGATAAATGGGAAAGAAGGAGTTACCTTTTTACAAAATACCAAAGTGTATTTAGGAAAACCAGTATATGTGTATGACATAACGGCGTGCCCATGTCTGCCATGTGACAAATCAAAGAGAGTGTCATTAAATGTGTGTTGTATGTGACAAATGAATGCAGTGTCTTTGTGTGTGTGGTGTGGAAGTTAGTTTTAGAGTTCATCTGCCAAATCAAATATCCTGAGATCAAAGCCCAGGGCATTTATAACCATAAAGGCCTTTGGTAATCAGGGCAATTGAGGAGTTGGTGTGCTAACAGTTTTATGATGGCCATTAGACTATGATGTGTTGGCAACTGTGAGGATAAGCGGATAAGATAGCAGGCCTTAGGCTTAACACTAATATTTACGTTTGGAGTAAATTAGAGTGGAGATTTTCTTTGAAATTAGAATGATCTCCATGGTTTTGAGTTTTTTTGGCAGTATTCACTAGTGGCCAGCTAGGTGTTGACATAGATAGGATACAAGATGGGAGTTTTCTTACAAATTCTTCAGGGCAAAAATGTTATAGGTTTGACCCATGGAGAGCATATCTGGATCTCACAATACAGGTGGGAACTAATTTGTTTATTTCTCACAGCATCAGGGCTGGCCAGATATAGCTCCAGGACTGTTTGACCCCCAGCTTAATTTAATTTAGGTGCCTCCTAAGAAAATACATAGACATTTATCTGGACAGGAGGTTGCAATGATTTCCTGATAACTTCTATGTGCTTACAGTATCTAGATCCTTGATCCATGAAACCCTATTCACCTTACTGCAAGTTTGTTAACTGAAAAGATGTGTGCTTCAAGCATGTTTCCAAGTGTTATTGCTCATTTACCTACCATATTATATTACAACAAAGTTTCCCTAAATTATGACATACAATGGCAGCATCAGAAACCTGAAACAGATAAAGTAGGGCCGTGATGTGAAAGATACCCCATCTTATATCTGTCTATGTGTTAATTGCCCATACCTGATAAGATCACATACAAAGAGTTGGCACCTCGTCCCTTTTGTACATACTAAAATATTTCGCCTTCTAAAACACCTTAATTCTTCAAATAAGAAATATATTTTTGTATTTCCTTAAAATAAATGCCATGAAGTTTGAATGCATGCTTGTACTTGTCTTAATGTTAATGTAAATTAATTAATGAACTGGACTCTCGTCAGCGGATTTCTTGAGTGATTATCATAAGGTTCTGAATAAGGCTAGAATGGTATGTGTGGAAGTAGGGTAGAAATATGTTGGCAGTTATAGTGGTTTGGACGCAGCCAGTAGGAAATTCTTTGATTTCTTACACTGCTACATACAAAGATATT